TTGGAACATCCATCCTCACATGTGACATCTGGATGGACCTCACTGGTCACGACTTCTCACTAGAACTCCAGGAAACTCCATCCTGTAGCAAGTCATTAGCGTGCATCAGATTAATTTTCTATAGTTTGTCCTTTGTACCTTCCGATTCACTGGGTCACGCAAATAACAAAAGACAAAGGATGGCTTGTGACTGTAAGATATTGTACTTTGTACATCTATTAGGAAACAAAACATCATATTTATATATTTAATTTATCACAATACAGTAGGCTCACAACCGTGAGAATGGACTATTGCTATTGGCTGGAAATGTCTATTCTGATTGGTTGTTAATTCGACATAAATCAAGGTGAGATAAAAGACGATGAATTGATCACAGTCTAAATCACAATATGCGTGAGAAAGGATAATGCACTATTTTATGTTGGGTCCTGTCAAGTGTCAAATAGTATAAAATCTAAATTAGACAAAAGATTACTTGTTGGTCGTTTATAGATATCGGATACTATGGTTAGCAGGTGTTGTAAATTTTGACGTATGCTCCATCATACAGCACCACTGAAACCCGATGTTATTTTGGTAAAAATGAGTTGCTTGGACACGGATGTTTCATGAATTTCCAACAGGAGACAATGACCAAGTTAGATCTTAAGAGACAGACTGGGCAGTAGTCACAACGATTTTTTATGAATTCGTCTAGTAAGTTTCAAACCAATAGCTAAATATTAATATGCTCATCATTAGTGCGTCGGTGGCACAGCGGTTAGGACGCTCGCCGACCATGCACATGGTCTGGGGTTCGATGCCCTGCCGACGCACACCTGATATCAATGTTCGGCCTGCAAAATGTGGGCTACCAATATCACATGCTGAAAATTCCATACTTGTACCAAAAATACTGTGTGGAGTCAAGCTATCATAAAAAAGACTTCGACTCTGTGCGTCAGTGGCACAGCTGTAGCATGCTCGCCAACCACGCCTCATGTGGTCCGTGGTTCGATCCGCAGCCGACGCCGCACTCCTTTACCTCGCTAAGCCGGTAATAAGACTGGTAAAGAGGGAAGGTGTTGGGCATGAGGTTAGCAACAGAATCCCGTAAAAATAAACACGACTGCTGCTACCGAAACTTCAGACCTCTAGCTTGAAGCCCTATGCTCACTGGGAACGCAAAGGAATAATAAAAAACAAACAGATTTTGACTTAAATTTGGAGTCCTGAATTGAGGTGAAGTATTTGTTCAGCATTCTTTGCCTGTAAACGGTTCCATAGATGAAGGATAGATTCATAACTTTTTTAGTTATCGTACCGATTTGTTTATTTCTTCTGCATAAAACGGCCTTTTTTTATCTTCGCCTAAACATTAAAATACATAACTTCATTTACACACACACATAGAGTCCTTGATGTCTTCTCTGCGAAGGATTAGTGACAGGTGTTGATTATCCTATGGACTTGGCATAAAAGCTTGACCCCAATATCCATTGATTTTATCCTACCGTATAAATATCATTCTCTTACAGCCTAAGGGTTTATTTTTTTTCGAAAGCTGAGGGTAGTACTACTGTAACAACAGTAGGCAAGACACGGGAGCCAAAATATATATATATATATATCATTAATCAAACCTCTGTTTATATATCTACAGTTTATATTCTTTAATGAATCACTGAGCGTGTGATTTCGGTTTACATTAAACAACATGAAATAGAATGTTCAAATATACCTAGTATTCTGTTGTTAATGCCTAACTGAACTGTGGGAACATGTGAGAATAATATTCCGTTGGGACACATTGTCTGTATCACACCACTACACTATTACATATGATATATCCGGGTTGGGGCCACCGGGACTCTAAGAATCAATGGCTGGAGACAATAGCTGACATGGCTCAAAATCGTTGTCAATGGCGAAGATGTATTCAGTCTCTTTAACCTTCATATTCCTTTCTACCATTACTCATTCTGTTTCACTCTTATACTTATCTAAATTCTATTGATTCTCTTCTCTCATTTTCCTGTCTACCTTTGTGTGCTATTTGGAACGTGGCAACTGGAACTGCTGCACTTCGGTGCCAAGTTCTATGTTGAATCCAGCAGCAGCAGCAGATATTTTTGAAAATCTCTGTCAGTGGATCTAAGATGATAACAGATATAATCATTCTCATCATCTACATCCAATGTGAAGTGAGTGTTAATCATTATACGAATCAGAGACGGCGCGTGAAGAAGGCCACATCGAACAAACTACAGACCCTTATCAACAGCTGTCTTCACTCAATACTCAAGATCAGATGGTCGGTCAGAAAAGATCAGCCATAGTGAGGGATCTCTGGCAATGAGCGAACCAACACAGCAGGAACCGATTGTGCAAGAAGTATGCAGTAAGAAATGGAGGTGCATTGGCTGGCCGTACTCTGAGAAAACCATCAAGTGACATCACACACTAGGCCATCGCTCGAGTGTAACCCGGAGGGGAAGCGGCGAGTTTGTCATCAGTGCGAGGGTGATATGGAGGAGGAGGTGATGCGAAGAGGAGATGAAAGCATGTGAGCAGACGTAGAAATGGAGCCAGGTGAAAACGTTGTCAGAGAACCGAACGCAATGGAGACGTGCGGCTGAAGCCCTATTTTCCTCTAAGATCTAAAGGAAACAATAATCATAATAATACATACAATGATATTACCTTAACAGGTGTATTTCGAATCGGTGATCCATCGGTTCTGGGAAACCTTAAAATCTAATCATACTTTCTTGTTATGAGCATGCATTTACAATTTGTTAACTGCTAAGTAATTTCACTATTAACGTGTTTTATTTAATTGTTAATATTAGAACATAACATATAAGCGGACAATATTGTTCTCAATTAGATTTCAGACTGTACTCTAATTTACATAGCTTTATGTATAAAAAATTAACCAACGACAGTGATTCCATATCAGTTTGTTTATTAGATATATCACACAGTGAATAAACAGTATTACTGTTTACTACTCGATGACAAGGTTTCCAACACAATTTATCACATTGTTTATTATCATATCAAGTATGATCACACAACTTCGAAACTTGAGTTTTATAGTTTTCTTTGTTCTCTCCTATTTGCCATCCTTGGGGTAGTAGAATTTTCCAGATGTCTGATTGGACAGGTGTTGAATCATTCCTGTTACATGTGTTTGCAGTTGATTCGATGAACAAAGCCTCAGTCAGTTATCAATCTCTCCCCCCAACCCTGCTGTTACATTAGATTTTAAAACTGTCATCTTATCCCATCCATCCTATTGTATAGTTGTGTGTAATTGCATGTAGTGAGAGCTATCTACGACTGAACTATTCTCTAGATTTCTTCAACACCTCTCCAACCGGATATCTGGAAAATTCTACTGTCCCAACGACGAGAAATAGAAGAGAACAAAGAAAACTATACAACTCAAGTTTCGAAGTCGTGTGATCATACTTGATATGATAAATTGTGTTGGAAACCTTGTCATCGAGTAAACAGTAATACTGTTTCACTGTGTGATATATCTAATGAACAAACTAATATGAAATTCTCACTGCCACAGTGGCCAAGTTTTACTCATATATTAACAATGACGGCGAGTTTGTGAATCGAATAATAGTAACAATAATGATAGTACTACTAATAATAATAAGTGAGTACGTTCTGCCGATGAATCCGTGGTCTAACCTAAAAACAACTAGAATCCCTACAAACTAATTCTTGAAAATTAATCTGGTGCCACCTAGTAACTGTTTACATGACGAAAGTGCCTGGAGTTCTAGTGAGAAGTCGTGACCAGTGGGGTTTATCCACTCTGGAGTGAGGATGGATTTCCCACCGATAACAGTGGTTGGTGGTGGCGTTAAAATCACGAATTGATGGTGATTAGAATTCAAAGGCAGGCCATTGAATCGGGTCCCAGTGACTGAATGAATGGCCTACGAGCTTGCCTTGTGACCGGAAGGTTCTGAGTTCGAACCCTGGTGGTGGTTGCGTACTGCCGATGAATCCCAAACTAGGATGAAATAGCTGTCCAGTACTCCCTGTGACGGGTTTTTAATGGTCCTCTTATTAATATCAATTCGTGGTCTAATCTGAAGCAAATACATTCCTTACAGACTAATTCTTGAGAAATAATAAGTGTTAAGTGTTTCGGACGTCAGTAATAACTATGATTATAATTATAAAATAATGGTAATAAGGTTTATGCACGTGGCGATTATTATTATTATTTCCTTTAATTCCTAGAGGAACATAGGGCTTCAGCCGTGCGTCTCCATTGCGTTCGGTTCTCTGCTAGAGTCTTCACCTGGCTCCAAGTCTGCCCACATGCTTTCATCTCCTCTTCACATCACCTCCTCCAAGTCACCCTCACACTGACGACCAACTTGCCTCTTCCCTTTCGGGTTCCACTCGAGCAATGGCTTGTCTAGTGATGTCACTTGATGGTTTCCTCAGAATATGGCCAGCCAATCCATCTCCATTTCTTCCTGCCTATTTGTTTCACAATCGGTTCCTTCTGGGTTGGTTCGCTCATTGCCAGAGATCTCTGTTGCTGATCTTTTCTGGCCAGCCATCTGATCTTGAGTAGTATTGAGCGAAGACAACTGTTAATGAAGGTCTGTAGTTTGTTTGAGGTGCTCTTTATGACGCGCCAAGTCTCTGATCTGTATAGTAGCACTGACTTCACATTGGAGTGGCGATATGTGGATAAATAAATGAATTAGGTCAAACCTAGGTCAGGTTACCTAATGCTAAGGCTGAAGTGGACAGATAATGAAAGTTTAAATAAATGTCATAAAGTACGAAGGAAATGGAAAATAAGAAAGGGTGGGACATTTATTTTAAAATCAGAATTTACCTATGCAAACAAGGTAAAGACAAAGGTAGAACAAACTACTTTTGTTTGCAAAGACTCGGATTGTTCTCTCTCTTTCTCCCTCGAATTCCCATAGCTTCTTTGGCTATGTTTTTAACAGTCCGGTTCGAATTTCGTTCGAAAGGTTCGATGGAATGCGAGATAGATAACTTTGAAGACACTTTTTCTTCTTCTTCTTCTGTCCCCTTGGTGACCGCTATCATCACTCAAATGAGACAAAAAATATAACTTCTTATAAAGATTTTACTTGGCGTTATATATAATTGTGTCGATCTATAATGAAATGGCTTCAACTCACTTATATCCTCTTTTTCTTTTTAAAAAAACAGGTATTAATCGTGAAGAAAGATTGGAACAGATATTGAATGATTTCAAAAAAGATTATGAACCAAATGAAAAATCGAATAAAAAGGCAGCTGAGAAAAGTTTTCATACTGCTAAAGATTATGCTAATCGACGAAAGTAAGTGTGTGCTGTATATTTTTGAAAATGTTATTTTCTTTGTTAATATTTGTAGAATCCAAAATTCACCTATTGCATAAATCCCTACCTAAAGACAGTATATCAATTACACATCCCCAGATCAACAGTCGGAGACTTTATAAATTAATCTTAGCTATGAAGCGAATCATGACCAAATATGAAATCTATCCACAAACAACGCGGAACAAGAGATGAAGGAAGATTTTTACAGACAACTACAAACAGTAATGGAAAACATGCCAAATGATGACATCACAATCCTCATGGGCGATATGAACGCCAAACAGGCACCTGATAATACAGGAAGAGAACCTAGGTCGAGTAAGGCTTCCTGCTGATTGCCTCCAACCACCGAATATCATCAAATGAGTGTGCACCGTGATGGCGAGCCACCTAGAATGGTGGCCACATTGCTAACCTGACTGATAGAATTCAGTCTACACTAAAGTCAAAGAAAGGACTAGACACATCAGACTAGTTACTAGTGTCCAATCAGAGTTGAATTTGGTTAGTTAACTATCCGATCCGTCTCTGCACCCGTCATAATTAACAAAATTTGGATTTTCAACATCAATGTTAAGTTAGTTCTTCTGTATGCACCAGACACGTGGCGAGCGCGTCACGAAAAGCTTGTCCGACAGGCTATTGCAGACTTCTGTCAACCACTGTCTTCGCTCCATATTGAAGACCAAATGACCTCTGCAGTGGAACAAACCAACCAAGAACCTGTCGTTCGACAAATTTGTAGGAGAAAATGCAGATGGATTAGATACAAACTGAGAAGGCCATCCGGTGACGTTGCACGCCAGACCAGCGCGCTCGAATGGAACCCCAGTGGAAAACATCGAGTGGAGCCTTCGAGGAGGACCACAGAGAGTAGAAGGAAATGGTGAGGTGCTGTTCCTCTCGGAACCCAAGGAAACACAGCGGTTGTGACTCTCGCCGACCATGCACATGGTCTGGGGTTCGACCCCCTGTCGACGTACACCTGATATCTATGGTCGGCCTGCAAAATTTGGGCTACCGATATCACATGCTGAAAATTCCATACTTGTACCAAAAATTACTTTCTGCAATCAAGCTGTAATAAAAAAATCAATCTGACCCGTTTGAAGAGTTTCCAACTGTGTATGTTTTCTGGTATATTAAGTTATTTACTATCACTAAATTTTAACTGATTTGTTGGAGGATTTCATCATGAGCTGACATCAGTTAGAGAACCATTGGAAAACCACAAGAGAGTACTGAGCAGCCAGATGTTTCGTCAGCCTAGTTCGAGACTCTTCACCGGTATGCACTCACCGTCAGGGTTCGAACCCAGCACCTTCCGGCTACAAGGCCAGTGAGCTCGTAGACCATTCGTCAGCCACCGGGACCCGATAGAATGGCTAACTAGTCCATGAATTCTAACTTCTGTCAATTGATGACATAGCGTGACCATTTCTCAACGCCTTCTTCGATGAGTTACTGCCTCACCTTCAACCTGCTGTGTACCCTACTGGTCACGACTTTCCACTGGAACCCTAGCTAACTAACTGTCTGAATAGGACCAGTCACTGGCGAGCATCAGATTAACTGATTTAAATAATTGAATCCAAAGGCTTCAGCGAATAAGTTATTTCGAGATGACATTATCTCCAAAGTACTTTATTTAATCCGATTCATTGAAACGGAACACTTTAGAATAATGTTATGCAGTGTTTCCTAGGTCTTGTTTTGAAATAATGACGAGATTTTCTGTCGAATCCCCCGGCCCTTTTCACGTCCCATTAGTAAGTAAATATGCTTTGTGATAACATCTACCTCGTTTGTTTTTTTTTTTTTTAAATTTTCTCCTCCTAGGATTAATCATAAACGTGTCTTCAAAAATAATAAATATGGTCATGGTGGACAGAAAAAGCGTCAAAAGCGTAATACAGCTGACTCGTTGAATAGTGGAGCTCGACGGGATTTCAGTCAATTGAAGCATCAAGCAACACCGAATAAGGCTAAACAAATTCGTAAAGATATACGCAAGTCAAGACAAAGACAGAAAAAAGTGTCAAAAAGACGTGCTTAAATTATCCCGGAAGAGAAATATACAAATATGTGAATAGCACATTCATGTTCTGTACATTATTTTGTATAGTATTGGTTGTTTTATAAATTGATATCATCAGTTCTTTTTCTTTTCTTTTTCTATTCATCTGGCGGTCAGTAACTTGCGTGGCTCTTTAGATTCGTGTTGTGATTCTTATCAGCTTAACACCATCTAGTTATTTATTGATTTGTTGAGGAAGATAAAAACTCGTTTACAGTACAGACGAATGAGACACTGGGTAGACTAACATACATGAATTCCTCTGTATAATTCTGAACAGAGAAAGAATAAACACCGGCGCAGAATGATATATGGGTTCATTTTACTTCATTGGTTCTCTTCAGCAGCGTACAACCTGTGCTATTCAATCGAACCTGTTCTCCATATTAGTTTGTTTATTAGGTGTTTCACATAGTGGAACAGTATTATTTACTGGATGAAAAGGTTTCGAACACAATTTATTATTGTTCATAATCATTTCATCGATTATAATCACACGACTTCGAAATTTGAGTTTTATAGTTGTCTTTGTCCTCTCCTATTTGTTGACTTTGGGGTAGTAGAATTTTCCAGATATCTGGCTGAACAGGTGTTGAACCATTTCTGTTACACATATTTCCGTTCAGTTTATTCGATGAACAAAGCCTCAGTCAGTTATCAATCTCTCCCTCTACCCTGTTACATTAGATTTTAAAACTGTCATCTAATGTAACCGGGTGTAGGGAGAGAGTGATAACTGACTGGAGCTTTTAATACAGGCAAGTGAACGGGGTGGCGATGGGCTCCCCATTGGGTCCCATTTCGGCTGATTTCTTTCTAAGTAAGCTAGAAAATGGACCTTTGAACAACCTTATCAGTAAGCTCTCATTTTATTGTCGATATATGGATGATACCTTTATTATTTGTGATAATGGTTCGGATTGGAGTACAATAACTACTGAATTCAATGAAGTACATTCGGCTATGAAATTCACATGCGAAGAGGAATCCCAAAACAGAATTGCCTTCCTCGATGTCCTCCCTACAAGAAAACCGGATGGTAGCATAAAAAGAAATTTGCATAGGAAAAGTACTTGGACAGGACAATATACACATTTTCACAGCTTCGTTCCTCTCAAGTAGAAAAGAAATTTAGTGAAGACCCTCAGCCACAGAGTTAGAGCGATATGCTCAGAAGAAGAATTAAGCATTGTATATGATACCTTGATTGAAAATAGCTATCCCGGAAAATTTATCAAGAAACACATGACAAAGAAAGCGGGAAAGGACTACTCACTATCCGTAAACAAGAAGTCTCTTTATACACAACTCTAATTCCAGGGCGATATACCAAGTGAAATAATTGCGAAGAAATTAAGGAAATCAGTTCAAAGAACGTTTAATGGTGGCGAACTACACGTATTGTTCTCTACACGACCGATGGTGCTACCTCGACTGAAAGATGAAGTACCCAGACTAGCCACTTCAAATTGTATTTATCAACTCAACTGCGCTTGTGGAGCGAGTTATATTGGGTGTTGCTCTTGAAACTTGATCTTTCGTGTTCGAGAACACCTCCCAGCATGGATAAGTAAAGGTGTAGGAAAAGCCAACATTGAAGAATCCTTCTCTATCATCTACCGTGTGTCAAATAAATTGCCAAAAACATCGAAGTACTGCATGCTTCAAACAGCAGAGGCTATTGCAATTCGCCTCAAACAACCAGTGCTCTGTGTTCAAAAGAAGCAAGTCCAGCCCCTACTACTGCTCTGGCTAGCCTTCAGTAGTGACTATAAATTCATAAATTCTGTATTATTATTTTCCCTAATATTTCTGACATTCAGTTTATTGTAATGTTGATACAATTGAACTGTAATCTATCAGTATTATTGATTCGATGTTATTTAAACAACATTAATGTTGTTCATAACACTAATTCACTCACTATAATATGTATATATAACTGTAGAACCTGATGATGATGAAGTTATCAAAAAGAGTATTCTTTGTTCAGTATCGATGCTTTTGGTAATATGGAATTACCTAATTACTAACACAGTGCCCAAGTTTTACACATATAATAATACGAACCAGTTCTCATACGATTTTAACACACATTTTGTCCATCATCATATAGGTCAGTCCTCCAGTAAGGATAGTTGTAAGAAAGTCATGGTGAAACAAAGCCTAAGGATAATACGGTTACGTAAAATCATCCATATATATATATATATTATAAGAGCAAAGTGTCTGGTAAAAATGAACAAATTTGTTGTTAGGGTTGTGATAAGTCAGTATAACTGCATAATCCGAGACAATAAGATACAATATTCGAACTCATAAGACTGAGAAATCAAAATTCCGGTGTGTAAGAAGTAGAATGAAAAGTTGATGGTGATGTAGTACAGTGAGTAGAATTCTAAAGATAAAAAATCAGAGTCAAATGGGGTAGAGGGTTGAAACAAAATGGTGAAGTCAGAAGATAAAGGGTTACTAAGGTGGGAGAGAGTTACCAGGGTAGCTGAAATCTCACAATGGATTCCTTTTGAACACAGGTCATGTTTCAGTTGTTTTATTACGAGAACTTCAGTATGCCGAAGAAGACATGGGATGTTTTGTCTTTTAATTATTTTAAGTGTATCGAGTGGGTGACCTGTGTCTATCAAGTGTTTTAGTAATTGATGAGTTCAAAGTGTTCAGTCCTTTTAATTGAAGTCTCATTTTGGTACATGCTCAAAGAATCTGATATAGACCCTTCTTTTTTTCCTGCCAATGTCGCTGCTCCCGCAGTTACATGTGAAGTGATATACAGAGTTGGAGGTAACATATCGGGGGTGCTTGTCTATATTTGACTGTGCCAACGAACAGGATGTTCGGTGTAAAGAGATCAATTTCGCCAGCGGACACACTTCCCCGTCGGTACTGCACCTAAACGTTTATTTACCTTTTTCATAACATTATCCACTTTTGAAGTCTTTTGAATGAAAATCGGTTTTTTCCCGAATGTAATTATATCTGGATTTCTACATTCTTTCTTTCGTCGTAATCGTTGATGAAACTTTTTGGGTGGGTAGCTATTTTATTTCAGGCATTTTTCAAATAACATTAATTCACTGTGTAATTTATCTGCTGAACATATTCACTTTGTCTTACGGAACAACGTTTTCACCATCATTTGTTTGTAGTTGACTTGGCAAAAGCTGTTGAAATCTAGGTAGAGATACTCCACTCCACGTGTCCTTGCGATAGACTGATATTCCGAGTGTTTCATCTTTTTTCTTCTCTCCAAGCCGATATCCAGAAAGTGAAAACTCCCATCATCTTCATGTTCCATTGTGAAGGTGGTGCCTTCAATATACATTGTTGAATAACCCAAGCAGATACGATGCATGATTCAGATCATTGCATACAATAAGTGTGCCATCACTTTCACGTTTAAACTTTTTCTGTCCCAAGACTAGCTATTGAAATATCTGCCAATACAGGATCCAATGGACTACTACTCATTGTCACTCCATCAATTTGGAAATACACTTTGTCATTGAACTGGAACAGTATATTCTTGGTGCTGACTGACCGATTGGTTTCAACATCGAACTTTGCACTGATATGCAGCAGTCCGAGTCGCCACACTTATCTCACCACACAGCCAGAGAAGAAAGTAAAAAGAAATGCATAAGAGAGACAGTAGACAGGGATATAAGACAAAAGGAATAGTAATATTGAAGAACAATATAGTTGTATTGGATATTATAAGTCACAAGGAGTGGATGCATCTGCACCAGGCATTGAAAACGAGGATTTTGAGCCATATCACCAATTGTCTACAGCCTCCATTGGTTTTTACCGTCCCGAGGACCCCAACCAGTCAGGCAGTCTACACCTTCCTACGTGACTGGCTTAAACTAACTGTTGTGGATTTCGTTGACTGATGAAGCCATGTTTTGGTTTGACCACCAACAGCAGCCTTTTTCCAACCTGATCCTATGTCAGCTAACACTGTCCGGCGTCGAGGAAGTCAATGGCTTGGCATGTATGCTTAAGGTGTGTCTGATGTTTTAAAGAAAACTCTAATGTCGAGCTGATTGAGTACTCTTCTGATATCGTCTGACGTATCCGCTCTATGAGCTGAAATTATGGCATGGCGTGGGACGGATGGCTGGTTTTCTACGGCCAGCCCCTGTCACTTGGAGGCATATGATGGCTTCCAATCCTCATCAATGGAATTATTTGGTAAGTTTATTTTATTTTTATATTATTTTTATTAGTAGTTTTCATGTTTAGGCTAGGTTTTAGCTTCATGTTTACTATGTTGGGGCATTTAGGGACCATACGGTCATAGTTTGTTTAGGGATGCTCTGGCATAGGAAAGCTATATATCAATCGATAGCTCTCGACGAGATCTATCCTTTGACATTGGTTTTGACCCTTGTAGCCTCTCCTCAGCCTTCCTCAGGATCTTTGATATCTGGGCTTGCGCCCTCTGGGGTTATGCTGCCAAAATTTTTCCAGGGAGGCTAGGACTTAGGGAAGCTATATATCAATGGATAGCTCTCGACGAAATCTACCCATTGGTACCGGTATCACACCTTATAGCTTCTCCTCAGCCGAATAGGGAATTTTTTTCAAAGGCTACAGGGGAAACCTGTTTCTAGGCCTAGAGTTCATGCCGCTGGCTGTTCTCTTGACATTTTTAGCTCCGCGACCTCAGGTTGTATGCCGTTGTGTATGTAGCTAGGGGGCATTACCAACCATAGGGCAGCAGGGGGGCAGAGACTGCTAGGCAGGAAAATCCTCGTATTTTTCTTAGGAATAGCTTTTACCCTCTGATTTATATACCATTGGATTCCTCTCGACGAGACGAACCGATTGGTACCTGTCTCGTCCCTGTAGGACTTACGGTTGCGGAGCTATGGCTTCTTTAATTTCAGGAGTTATCCTCCTATTTTAGCGTTTCTTAGGGTGAACATGCTCTTTCATTTCATCCACGATGTTATCGGCAACGGGGAGCTGATAATGAAACCGAGGCTGACCGGCAGCTTAACCGGACTTCTACTGATATGACTGTGGCGACGGTATCAGTAGGAGATAACTTGGGT